CGCATTGGGAGACAGCTTCATCCGACTCGTCTGGGCATTCCGCTAAACCCGAACAAGTAGCGTTCTTGGGAATGCAGATTGATCCGTCCCAGCATCTAAACATCTCTGATTCACAGGTCAGAACTTCCAGCTCTCTGTCACTCTCCTCTTCCTCTTGCTGTCTTGCTGACCTCTCCTCCACTGAGGTCTCTACTGCTTCGTCCTCGACACTATGAGTGTTTGTATATCCTCCTTGATTGTCCTCCCTTTCGATCACGCCTGAGATGCCAGGAAGCAGCAAGTTGCTCTTGTAGGTTAACGCAGGGATGATGCTGCCTGTAAGAAAAATAGAGAAAAGTAAAGTTTAATTAAAGCCTGGTAAAATTTTTACGAGAAATTATCCACTGGCTGAGTCGAGAAAATACTGTGTACTTTGATACAGCGTGTGAAGGTTTGAATCCTTCTGAGACACACTGTTTGTTAAAAGTTCGCCCCTCTGCAAATTGTTAAGTATATTTTTCATTATTTTATTAGCATATCGGCCGTTTCCCACCAAGGTAGAGTGACCCGAAAAAGAAGAAACACTTTCGTTATTATTCACTCGATCACCGTCTTGACAGAGGTGCCCCTAAACTACAACACCCCTCCTTCAGAGCATAGGTACTGAACTTCCTACCTCCGGCTTGCCGGTTTCCCTAAATCAATTCACAAATGTTGCTTTGCTCACACTCCAGCAGACGTTAAGTCATAAAAACCATTTGTCTTCACTCTCTCCAATCTAACATGCTTACGCATGCTTGCTGGAAGTTCAAGCTCCTCGCACACTAAACCTCCTTTATCCTCTCCCTCCAATCTTTCTTAAGCTGACCCTTCCCCATCTTTCTTCCGTTACAGATTTATATGCTCGCCAAGTCATTCTATTTTACTCCATCCTCTAAATAACCCCCCCTCCACCCTTTCAGCGATCTGGATAATACTTTTAGTAACCCTGCACCTCCTCCTAATTCTTCAACTTGTCGGTTTTAGAAAACCATTCATCACAAGGTTAGTTTTTCTTGGTTGTTTATTTCTCTGTTATTTAAGTTTTTTTCTGTATTAAACTGTGCATTATTTTGTATAGATTAAATGTTGACAGCGAATAGTTCGAAAGGGTCTAGAACGGACTCGTGCAATGTTAGTTTTCTCTGTTGTTCAAGGTATTCTCAGTGTTATTCAAGGTTTTTACATTTAGTTTACTAATAACACTGTGCATTCTATGGTATAATTAACTCTTTTTGTGCTTAAAAAATCTTAAAAAAACAGCATTTACATGTAGTTCGTAGGGGTCTGGAAGGGATTAATCATATTCACATAGAATCCAATAGAAAAATTAGGTTCGGGTCACGACCAAATAGGGCTGCAATCAGAGTTTTGGAACGAATTATGGTCGTGAACAGAGGTTCCACTTTACGTATGTATATACAGAGCGTGCAGGGTGCTGCATACATTTTGTGTAAGTGAAGAACTAACAAGGTTGGCAAGGGCCAGTTTCGGCAGACACTATTGTGGGTATCCATTGGAGATTACAGAGTCGTCACAATCCTGTGCATTAGACCATTGCTTCTAAATCAGTGAAAGTGCAGTGTGCATGTGGGATGATGGGGAGTAGTGCTGGTTTTGAGGGGATCCTCCCAGCGGTGTGGAGGTTTGTTTACCCTCTGTGTTCGGCCAGGGTTACGGGGTAGTGGTCGCTCAGGACTCCATCACTGGATGCTGAACAGAAGAACACCTTGGTTAATAATGAGAACATGGTGATTATGTCCCAAAAGGCAAAGTTT